TTTAGACTGAAAATTATGTTGGGTTGGAATATATGTTGGGCTAGAATATATGGAATTTAAAAAAAAAATATAAGCTAGGGTTTGAAACAGCAACTTTAATGCAAAAGGAAGCAGCAAATCAATCAAATTGAACAGCAGATTTTTTATTTTTTTATTTTATTTTATTTTATTTTTTTTTACTACAGAATGAAAATCAAAAATTTGGAATCCGGGTGTGAACAGTACCCGTGAACATTAACAATAAATTTTTTTTTTTTTCAACTAACTCTGAAAATTGAAGAATAAAATTGCTGCCTTTACCAAAATCCTTTTAATTTGTGCTGTCCCAACAAAATTTAGGAGAAAAGAAGAGATTTTGGATTGTAAAAGAAAGTACCCAAGATTCGGCTCTGATACCAAATTTGATGTAGGATGAACAAGAAAGAAAGTAGAAGGAACGGGGAGGAGAAATAGAGAAAAGGGAGAAGAGGAGAAGAAACCAGAGGAAGAGAGGGGAGGGAGAAAACGGCTGCAGGCCACCAAAAATATTTCAATTCTAATTCATCATCAGCTGTCTCAAATGAGAAACAAAACAGAAATAACTAGCAGAACACAAACCCAAAAGAGAAGGGTTTGGGCCAAACCCACTAAGCAAGCCCAATAGCAAAAACATAAACAATAGTCAAAATAAAATATAACTAATAGTTCAAATAGAAAATAAATAATAAATGGATGTCCGCATCAAGCTGATTTTCGGATCAGAAGCCCAGACAAAGGGTCTTCTTGTTCGTGAGAGGGATTCGGGTGGTCATAGGGGAGGCAGGTCTGGCTTAATGATAGTGATATAGTTTGTTATTTCTACAAGAAGAAGGATTCGTCGAAATGGCAGGGCACGAATAAATTAGTTAACTACTAATTAGAAGGGGTAGCCTCCACCGTTTTCATTCCTTCTTGCTGATTCATAGTTCTACAGTAGATTCTAGGACTGAACAACGAAACCGTTAAACCGAACCGAAACCGTTGGTTTGGATCCACGTGGATCCGTCAACACTTTGGTTTTAAACCGAACCAAACCGTTTTGAAGTGATTTGGTTTACGTTTGAATTTTAGCAAACCGTTTCAATCCGTCAAACCGCTAAAAAAAATAATAATAATAAAATTAAAAAAATAAATTTAAAAAATCAGTTTTAATTTAAATTTTATTCAACCCAAGTAAAACCAAATACATCCCATATTAGGCCCAATCCAATTAAATTCAATACCCAACTTAAGAAAATACCCAACTCCAAGACTCTAGGCTCTTCAACTCTTCAATTTTTCGACTTTGTAACTTCTAGGTTATTTCTCCCTCTTTCAAATTCTAACAACAAAGGTATGTGAATTTCTACTATCTATATTTTTATTTATTGATTCTTCATTTTAATTCATGTTCATGGAGTGTTGTTTGTTAATTTTCTACTTATTTTCTTAATTTCTTTTTGTAATCAATCTATCTGATTGCTGTGAATGAGTTAGTTTCAACAAAACCTCTATTGATCTAAGATTCCAATTTGTTGAGTTGGGATACCAATTTTTCCACTGTTTCAACAGAACCCCACAGAAAGAGAAATTGATGAGTTGTGTGCAAGTTGAGTTGGCAAACCCTTTTTTCCTCCCAAACAAGGTTCAGTTCTTTAAACCAGTATTACTAAACAGAAGATTAATGAAAATCATAAAATTCGATACATGTCCACTATCTGTTAAACTTGCTGGACATAAACTTCAAATATTTCAACTTACACTAGAAATTAGCATCAATCAAATATACCCATTGAATTAAGAAAAAAATATACATACTAAGTACATAAAAGTAAATGAGGGGATAATTCTAATTATAATTAAATATAATTAGCACAAGTTCAATTTTCATTATAACAATATAGATTAGAATCTTTGTGCCGGTCACCTTTCTGGTTAATAAATTAGAGAGAGACATTTTAAAAGGAATAATGTTTGGACCTAACATGAAGATAATTCCATCTACATTGAGTTAGATCTCACTCCTCAGCACGTGCGCATGATGTGTATATATTTTTCATTCCACCTTGTGTATATAGTTTTATTAATAGTTATTCTTGTGGTAAAATAAATAAAATAAAAAACACACTATATTCAAGCCTTTTTGGTATTTCATAATTGATTAGGAGTTTCTTTACAAATTGTTGTAGGTGGGGGGCCTGCCTTGAAATTTTTTGCTGTTCATATTCTTTTGTTTATTAACTTTGACGTCAAGTTGAATAATATGATTTTTTTTTCGTATGTAGATAATCAGATATGTATTCGACTTTAAAAGAGCAAAGTAATCATGGGACCGATGATAAAATTCCAGTAAAGAGTGAAAATGTGAATTTGCAACAAAGTGTGAAGGGTAAGAAGGGACATAAAAGGTCAGATGCGTGGGCTCATTTTGATATAAAGAATGATGGAACTGTAGAATGCATTTATTGTGGACAAGTGTATAAGCATCAATCTAAAGGTGGGACTAGCACATTGAGAAATCATATCGAGGATTTATGCAAAAAATATCCATATAGGTTTCAAGACAAAAGGCAAAAGACATTAAATTTCTATGGTAACTCTAGAAATGATGAGGTTTTAGAGAGTGTTAGTAGTGGTGGACAACTTGTCAAGTTTACTCAAAAAGGGGTGAGAGAACAGATTACTAAGTACCTTATATTATCTGAGTTACCTTTTCGACATGTTGAAGATGAAAGTTTTCAGTGTTATACAAGGTATTTTTTTCCGACTTTTGATTTTCCTTCAAGGATGACAGTTGCTAGGGATATATATCGCTTGTTTCTTGATGAGAAGAAGAAATTGAGGAAAGAATTGAGTAAACACCGGGTTTGTTTGACTACTGATTGTTGGACATCTATACAAAATGTAAGTTACATGTGTTTGACTTCTCATTGGGTTAACGATCATTGGAGACTTAATTAACGAATCATAAGTTTCATCCAAGTCCCCAGGCATAAGGGTGATATGGTAGGAAAGGAATTGATATCTTGCCTTCAGGATTGGGAAATTAATAAGATTTTCTGTGTGACGATTGATAATGCCTCATCTAATGACATAGCAATAATGAAATTGAAGAGTTGTGTTTCTAGAGAAGAAGAATGGTCTAGTTCTTGGGGGAGAAATGCTTCATATGAGTTGTTGTGCTCACATTCTCAATCTTATAGTTTATGATGGATTAAAAGAAATTAGCAATGCTATTTCATCTATTCGCAATGCTATACGGCATGCTAGATCTTCCCCAACACGACTAAAAAGATTTCGAGAGAGTTGCAAGGATGCAAATATTGAGTCTCGAGGTTTATTATGTTTGGATGTATCAACTAGATGGAATTCTACATACATGATGTTGCAAGCCGCAATAAAGTTTAAAAAAGCATTTGATGTTTTGGAAAGTGATGCAAACTATACAAAGTACTTTGATGAAGAAAGGTCTAATGGGAAAAATATAGATGGACCACCAACACATGTGGATTGGGACCAAGCAGAAGCATTTGTTGGATTCTTGAAGACTTTTTATAATATGACATTGAAAATTAGTGGCTCTTTATATGTAACGTCAAACACTTTCTTTCAAGAAATATGTGAAATTCATGCGGAGTTGAATGAATTAGCTAAAGAGCCAAATAGTATGATAGGATCCATGGCAGTTAGCATGAGAAGAAAATATGATAAGTATTGGGGCAATCTTGAAAAGTTTAATCAATTGTTGTTCATAGCAACAGTTCTTGACCCTAGATGCAAGTTGGAATTACTTAAAGTTGGGTTTGAACTTATTTATGATGTACAAATTGCAAACATGTTAAAAAAAAGTTGAAAACACGCTTCACAAGTTATATGAATGCTATAAGGAAATGATGACTCCACCATTAGTCCCACCAAAGGATGCTACTCAACCTAGAAGCCAAAGTGCTTTACAAACTACTTTTGGAACTTCTAAACCTGTTCCCTCAATTTTTAGAGCTATGCTTATGCAAGAAACTAAAGCAGAGAAGAACGATTTGATGGATTATTTAAATGATCGTTGTGAAGATTTGACCAATGATGATTTCGACATATTAAATTGGTGGAAATTGAATGAAAATAAGTACAAGATTGTCTCCCAAATTGTCAAAGATGTGTTAGCCATTCAAATATCTACAGTTGCTTCCGAGTCTGCATTCTCTACTAGTGGTCGAATTCTCGATCCTTTTAGGAGTTCATTGAATGCAAAGATGGTTGAGGCAGTGATTTGCACTAAGAATTGGTTACATAGTAACAAGGAACCTATTGTGATTCGTCAATATTTGGATAAGTAAAAGCATTGGATGATTTAGAAAAACCTATAAAAGGTATTATCGTATTTTATCTTTCTATTCACTTTATTTTATAGTTTTTTATACCATTTAATTTTAATAAATGCATATATTTGTTATATGCAGATAACGAATCATCTGTTACTACTGAAGATGTTTTGCCAATTATTATTGATTAAGAGGTTAGAACAAATTGTTTCACTACATTGAATTATTAGAACTGAAAAATATTTCTTCATAGTATTTATAATAATACTAATATTTATATTTCAACGGGATATTTAAGATTAAAATTTATGATTTAACTTGTTCGATGTACATTTTTTTCGTTAAACCGTGATTTTAAACCGATCCAAACCGAAAAAAGTGGTTTGGATTGGTTTGGTTTGAAAATTGAATTGGTTTGGTTTGGTTTGAAAAAATTTCAAACCGCTTTAAGTGGTTTGGTTTGAAAATTTGTCACAAACCGTCCAAACCGAACCATGTGCACCCCTAGTAGATTCCTATCACATTGCTTCAGCGATCTATCAAGAACTTAACCTGTAAGTCAAGACTCCAGATGACCTCAAAGCTAAGCCCAAAATTTCTTTTTAATATCATTATTCACTACGAGACATGTCTTGCTACAGTAAAATGTCCAAGACTAAGAAATTGTAATTACTTTTAACATACACAAATTGCTAGTTATTAGCCACCCAAAATATTATCAATTTCACACATCGAGATGGAGATGCAGCACTAACACACCATTTAATTCCCAAAGCATACTGCTGCACATATTCAAGTAGTCAAATGGACAAGATAGTTGCAAATAAACATGCAGGATGTAAAAGTTCAGAAGATAGCAAAATGAAATTTCCATCTGAAAGCAAAATGAAATTTCCAGTTCAATTTACTTGAACATAGTAGCTCATACTCCTGAGCCAGATAAAATATAATTTTGAGAGACAACAGAACCATACCTTTGGACCACGATCAACCAAGCGAGCCCATTCACTTCGGTTCCTCAGACAATCAAGAACAGCCTGGGAGTGACTTGAATACGCATAACGCTCTCCATTATGCTTCCTCAAGTGAGGCCAATGCTGCAGATATGAGAAAATTGAAAAAGACATTATTCTCAATTTTATTTTGAAGAATTGTAATGAGCTTGGGCATGCAGAACAGCAGCTTATCATTTGATCAAAAACGCACCGGTACAACTGCATTACATAGTTCTTCATATGTCATGCGTTTGCCTTTACTCATGATCTCAGCAATCAAACCTATAACAAAAACATGGATGGGACGGTTGCACCATACTGAAAAACAAAATTTCGAAGATTTTCATGGAAAGGCACAAACCAGGCAAAGTGCGATTGGTAGGACGGCCAACCATCTCCTGATCTTCTTGAGAAACGTTTCTTGGTGAGTGGCGAATAGATGATAAATTTTGTCCATTTGTTACATCAGCGGATGATAAATTGCTGTTCAGATTTGATGTGGAGACAGAAGAGTTACTTGTCTTCATAGAGTGAGTGCCTTTAACTGATCCACCATCGGCTTCTCTTTTGGAAACAGAATCTGAGTTGTATTCAGGATCTCGTCTCCTGTTATCACGTGAAGAGGGCCTCTTAGCTTCATTGTCAACCTCCCGAGAACTATGTGAACCATCTTTAGCAAAATCTTTGGTTTTTCTTCTGGAGCCCTGCAGAATTTATAAACATGAGACAAGTTACCTGATCAGAACAAGTCAAAAAAATCATACCGCTAAAGGTTCACCAAGCAGAAAAGTCAAGCATGCTCACCAAGGCATGATCTTTTCCTCCACTACTAGATGTTCGCTTCATTAGCATGCTTGTCGGTGTAGTAGATGTTAACTGAGGTAAACTACCAGCATGACGCATGCGTGGTGCCCTAGTCACTCGAGGAGAACTATTGAGTTCTTGATGCAAAAGTAGAGCATACTGCATATGGCATAGCAGATGAGGATAAGATTTCTTAAAAAGGAGGAAACTGAGAGGGATAGTACTGTCCATACCTCTTCATCACTGAGCATTGTGGATACGCTAGAAGAAGCTGGAGCATGCAATAAAGATGCATTTCCTCTAGATGATGATTGGCTACCCGGCTGATTAGTCTTTTCCCCTTTAAGCGGTAAAACAGAATCTGTAGCTTTATTCTGAAAATTTGACACAATCTCTGTCTGCTGTGAACTTGCACACTCACCAGAGCCTGGGGTAGCAAATACATGGGACACAGAAGGTTCTTTAGTGGAGGAATGAATTGCAGAGTCCTTTGAATCAGATGGGGCTCTCTTAGAATCTGAAGCCTCTGATGTCTTGGCTGGCTGAAGTACTTTTGCAGCATAACCATGAGATCTTGGATGTTCTTTGGGTATTTTCTTCAGCCTCGCACATTTATCTTCATCCCTACCTACATTAGTTGAGGCATTATCTTTCACACTTCTAACTTTGCTCTCAGACGTTCCCTTCAGTCTACCACCAGCATATTGATTTTGATTAGCTGCAGGTATGTTAATGTCAGAAGATTTTGACATCGCAACACTGGCTGACATGGAAGGGGATTTGCCAACAGAAACAACTACCTTCCGCTTATATGAAGTTGCTGAATGGTTTGTGACTGAGCCACTGGATTTACATGAATCTAAAACTGGTTTTAAACCATGTTTATGACCTGAAAACATTTGTCTTGCTCCAGATGAACCTTCTGAACCTGCTGGTTCTTGCTTAGATTTATAGGTGTCACCTTGCAATTGATTAGTTTTGTCTTTAGAATTACAAACATCTAGCATCTTATCACCATCTAGCACCTGGAAGTCACTAGCATCTGGACCTATTATTGAGTTGTCAGTCACTTTAGCATTCTCAGACAAAAGATCAGAGGAAGATTCTGGATGTTGGACAGCAGCTCTCATGCTGTCCATCTTAAAATCATCTGGAGATGAAGCACAGGCATTAAAGCATCCGTGATTATTAACATCTACCTCTGCTTTCAGTTTCTTATCAGGCTGTAAAGAGTTGGCAATCTCAATATTTGAATATTGGACATCTCCAGCAACAGGCTCTCTGTCATGCAAGCTAATCCCAACGCTTCCAGTTCCAACTCCCTGAATATCTCCCAAGCTCTCAAGATCACCGACCACAACCTAATTTAAACACGAGAGAGAGAGAGAGAAGGTGTCAATACTGCTAATTCAAGGATGCGTCTAGGAATGTAATTACAAGGCCTATGACCTCTTAAAAAGCATTTCTAAATATAATCAAGAAAAGAACAGCTTGCAACAACTCAAAAGGAAATAGGCATCTTAATAGAGTCTGTTAACCTCTGCTGGTAAGAACTAGAACGAGAATACAAACAGCATATATATAATGTCTAATCATTGAAATGCACTGAGAGCAGATGAACATGACGAACACGCCCAGCAAAACACCGAATGTTTTGCTAATTTCTTCTCATTTTAATTTTAATTTTTCCACCTATCTTTATAGGGCCACAATCGCTAGGCATCATGCCAATTATTTGCATGGGTTACATGGCAAACCGTCAATGAAGCATGTGAATTTCAAGGAGAAATTAGAGAGAAGCAAATTAGTTCAGTGGTATACATACAAAACTTGCTGCATTATCTAACCATAATATGATAAGATATTAGTTTCTCCGACACCAAGATTAATTAGAGCTAGCTGAATGGCATGAAGTTATATTTATGGAAGACTGAATACTCATGACAAAACACAGATTATGAGAATTACATCATGTGCATTTAGCTGTACCTCTTCTTTTACAGGATTGCTCTGAGAATCGTGGTGTTCTACCAATGATGCAACATCAACATTGGCTTTAAATGATACATCTGACCTCACCAAGCCTTGATGATGTCCGTCGTCTTCCCTTGGTATTGCACCTCCTGAAGAATCATTTCTTAAAGTTGTCTGCTCCCTTGAAGCTATATCAGTAGAACTATCACAAAGACCATTAGATACTTGATCACCAAGAACATTCTTGTTGCCCTGACAATCAACGTTGAAAGTCTTGGAGTTTCTATCTTCAGAAAATTCTAATTGTTTTCCATTGCTTGAGAATGTGGAAGCTAGTAATGTATATGAAAAACAAAATTAGTTAATCAATCTACAACAGTTCAGGCACAAAATGCCAGTCCATCTTATTTTTCTAAAAATAAAAAAATAAAAAATAATATTCACAAAACTAACATGATTCATATTGCCAATTAAAAGAATCGTAACTAAAAAATTAGGAATCAAAGAATATATGAAATACCTGCATGAGACAAAAGAACAGCTCGTTTTTTAGAATTTCCTTCTTTCTCAATTTTCCCAACCATTTTCTTTGCATGTTGATTATTCAAATTTTTGAGCTCCTTTTTCTCATGTTTTTCACAGTTTTCCAGGGTAGGTTGCACCATGCTTCTCTCCTTCATCTGTTTCGGGGACAATAACTCTTGCTGCTTGCCTTCTTCATTGTTACTTTTTACACCAATAGAATCCACCACAGGAGTGGGCAAAATATTTTCCTTTTCCTTTGACAGAGAGTATAAAACACCAGCACCATCATCAACTTGATTCCCATTTTGATCTCCACCTTTTTTATGCACCTTATCTTCTTTTCCCTCTAGGACATTGTCATCCCACAATGGAAACTCCCTGTATTGAAAATTAAACTTTTTTGGCACATAGCCGGTTGCCTTCCACAGCTGTGGACCAAAAATTGATGACATTTGTGCCCCTGAGAACAACCCAGGATCACCACCCGGCACCCCTTGCACATGAACCCTCTCCTCTATCGGGATATCAGTCCACAACCTAAACGGCCTATGTGAGGAAACACTGGCTGGATTGTCCATCCTGAGCGTTTTGGTAGGCAATTCAACTAAAAACTGTGCGACCTCTGTCTCCTCGCTCTCATTCCTCACACTAGCACTGTTCTTAGTCTTACACTTATCGCAAGCAAAGGATTTATCGCTCTTGACGTAACGTGAACAACGCGTGTGCACCCATACCCCGCACTCATCGCACTTTACCATCTCCTCACCGTCGTCAAAATTAACTCCGCAGACGCAGTCGACTGTCCATGAGCCATCCACCCAATCGTCGTGTGAGTCCGAGGGGGGAAGCCGATGAGACCCGCTCTTCATTTCTTACTAAAATCCCTAACCCTAACTCTATTTTCAATCAAACCCTAATTTCCACATATCCGAGCTACAATTCTACATGCCACGCAAAGACATTGAAATTCCTCCAGATAATTATCTTTTTCATAGAAAGAGAAAATTGGATTCGAGAAAACGTACCTTAGCAAAAATTGTCGAACTTGGCTAATTCGTGTATCTGTTTGGTGAATATCCAGTGGATATAATGGTTAGTTTGAGAGAGAAAATATCGGACGAAACCCAAAGAGGGAGCGTGAAATGAATATAGGATGAAGAAGTAGCGTCGGTCACACGTTTTGATGTGGGTTACTGTAGCTTTAGCGCTGCTCCAAAATATCGCGATTCGCGACCCGTTTGTGACTTTCGGAGTATCCGACGCTAGTGAGGACTAAAGAGTATATAATAGAGTTTCACTTGGATTAAAATCTAATTTTAATTTAAATAAAATCAAATAATAAATATTAATCAAATGAAACTCACAATTTTTAACCACACATTTCAAAACATTTTATTACAATCTATTAAAATATTTAAGTTGGTCAATTCCTGTGTCAATCCGCCGATTTTTTTCTTTTTCGGCATATTTGAATGGGTTCTAATTTTCCGGTTTTCCTATATAGCCTTGCGGATTTTCCGATTTTCTCAATCATAACCATTGACGTGATTCAATTCTAACGACACAAACGTACTTGATAGTAAAATTAGAATATTCTATCAAATTCACATCTATCAATTACCAAATAACGAAGTCTAAAATGAAATTATTGATAGACTTCGGTTAAATCCATTTGCTTAACCAACGAATTACTTTCTATCATTAACAAATTGTTGAATTCAAGAGTAAATAGACTAGAATTCTTGTAGTTGGCTTTTTGTCACCTTTCTTCAATTGCTTTCGACAAATTTAATGGAGTTTAGCTCCTATTTGTCACCTATTATTTTATTTTATTTTTTACAATACTTATTTTCAACCATACATTTTTCATTAAAATAATATTACACACAAATAAAAAAATTCATATTTTTTTAACTACACATTCTCCATCAATCTACTATTCCATACTACATTTCTCAAAATCAAAAAGGTTCTAACACACCCTTAGATACAATGTTGAACAATTCTGGTACTACAAGAACTATAATGTTATGTAGCACTGATAATGCTTGACACCAGTTTAGATAACAGTGAATGCTAACAAATGGCACTTGAAGTTGTGTTGCTGGAGATCAGTTTCAACCAGATTGGTATTAAAAAAATGTTTGTTATACATCACGATTTACATTATCTTTTACAAATTGATGAAGTGTCACTAAAAAGTGGAGATATTTTTTTATCTAATTGATGAAATTTTGACCCAATCAAATCTTGCTACACTATTTATTGGTAAATAAATTTGTAAGTTGCGGTATAATATAGTTCAATTGTATTAGTTAAGCATTGGCGCCAATAGTAGAGTCCAATGCCACCAAAACTTTTGATGAAAACTCATGTGGTAAATATTCTAAATTGCGTAATAAATTATGCATAGATGATAGAGTTCAATATCACATAAATTTTGTGATGAGCATAGCCCGTGCTATAAAGCGTTACTCTTAGAGTAAATATTCTAAATCCTACACCGCCTAAGTTTGTGATGAGCACAATTTTCACTACAAAGCATTATTCCTAGAGTAAATGTTCTAAATTACGTGTAATAGATTGTCCCTAAATGACTTATCTCTTCGTATCGAAATGGTTCGAAAATAGAGAGATTACAACTTTACAAGTCTTCACTTCAATTTCATTCTCTTCGAAAGATTGTACAAGTATTGAACTTTGACTTGATAACTAATTAGTGGATATCGGTTGAACTGGTTGATTTTGAGTCTGGATAGGTATAGATTTAGCTAACAATATCGAGATGGTTTGAAAATAGAGAGATTATAATTCTTCACTTCAATTTCATTCTCTTCGAAAGACTATGCAAGTATTGAACTTTGACTTGATAACTCATTAGTTGGCTTCGATTGAACTGGTTGATTTTGATTTCTTTTCAATTAATATGATCTTTACTCACAAACAGCAACTTATGCAAATACTGAACCAGGATAAATTACAAGGAAACTTCTAGAATAATAAAACACGTTGGTGATTTTCTAGGGTTACTTTAAATAGATGGATGCCAAAGTGGACTAAGCATGAAGGATAAAAAGAAAAAGCAAGTGGTCTTGTATGCTTCTTCCTAATTCATATTTGACCGGATAAATGCTAGAAAATCAATTATCCAACCTTCACAAAGTAAAATGTGTGCCCCAGGAATCCCTAGCAAGCTCATAAATAGTATCTCGCACCATTTTCCTATTAAAAAATAAATAAATAATCCTACCACCCCAACTAAAATCGAATAAATCTTCTCAAACAGGGCCACATAAGCCCTGTTTTTTCCCGCGGGGGGGGGGGGGGGGTGCCTGCCCTATGTGACCCTGTTTACATAGCATTGACCATGAAAATCAAGACTAGTTTGACTTAGTATCAATTAATATTGGACCAATTTTCAATTTTAGCTACATAACCAAAAATAGGATTCGGTTCACAAAATATTTTCTTTCTCGCCTATTAATTAAATTGTAATTTATGAGAATTAACATGTGTTCTAAATTTAAACAGAAAAGTAAAATAAGAAAAATTACGCAATAGTTTACAATTTACAGTTTTATTTTGAAACATAAAAGAATTGTGCGAAAAAGACGTGATAAATTAAAATGTTTTCCTGGTCATGTATCTTTTCCATCTTTATATACATCCACTTTTTTTTTTGGGCCGGTCTAATAATTAAAGTGCTAAAGCAAATACCCCAGCCAGTGACTAGTATTCATAACCCGCCAACTCTTTTTCTACCATCACTGCCTTGCCCTCCAAAAATATGAAGCCTGCTGACATTCAAGAACAGAAAGAAAACTGACTAGTTGCTGCACAAAACTGATGGGAAACTGCTTGCTTGGAGGCATGGGAGAATGCAACAATGAAGTGATAAGAGTTGTAAATTCCAACGGCGGAGTTATGGAATTTTACGCGCCAATAACAGTTGAGTCCATCACCGATGAATTCCCGGGTCATGGAATTTTTAGAAGCCATGACCTCTTCTGGAATCCACTCCCACACAACCAAGTATTACTAGCTGGAGAATCCTACTACCTCTTAGCATTACAAGACAGCAAATCAGGCAAAACTACTAGTAATCCCGCACAAGTTGGGCACGTGAGATCAAACAGTGTGCCTCATCAATCCCTTGTCGCCATCCCTCCATATAGAATGTCTTTGGATAGCCAGCAGGGATTAGGATTACTGAAAAGGTCCTACACTAAAACTTCTGAATCCTTTCCCTGCAGCAGGTATTATGGAAGTTGCGGTGGATTTTGGAAAGTGAAGCTGGTTATTAGCCCCCAGAAATTGTTGAACATTTTATCAGAGGAGGGCAAAACGGAGGAGTTGATTGACAGTGTGAGAGCTGTTGCAAAATGCGGGAATAATATGGGAGTACTCGACTCGATGCCCTTTTCTGATCAATGGAGTCTTTCCAGCAGCAGAAATTAATGTTTTTTTCACTGCCAACCCCTCCCTCCTGTTCCTTGTTGCCTTAATTCTTCTACTTCTAGTTTCTAACTAGTACTCATGTACGCTTATCTTTCCTTCTTAGAAGTTTGTTTTCTCTGTGAATTCCAGCCAACAGTAATATAATAGTCCTTCCAACTCCATGGCATTTTCATCATTGAATCTTTCATAAGTTAAACTGACTTTTTATTTCAAATCCTCTTCTTTACATGCTAGTTAAGTTCATTATATGACACTTAAATAGTATTGAACTCTGCGTGATGAATATTATCATTCACTTTAGAGAATTTGCAGTTTGGCATTGAACTGTTACAACATATTTGGGAGGAAGAGAGTAGTGTGATAATAAACATGCTATGCACAACTGAAGAGAGACGATCTTAAAAAATTCAACTTGGGAATCACTGACACAAATTGGTTTTGGACAATTTTGGTTGTATAAATGATGTCGAAATCACATTTCGAAGACTGGGAAATGTTAATGCCTCTATTCCGGATACAACTCCAACCAAAATAGAAGTGTTGGTGTAATTAATCTTTTCATATCTTATGTCAATTTTTGTGTTCTCAAAGTACTCAAACAATTACTCGAGAGAATAAACATATGAAATCCCCATATAACTAGACGGGGCATGCTACAGGAACAGGGGGGCTGACCGCCTCCCTAACCGAAACCCACAAATAGGGGGGGTCCTTTTTTTTTTTTTTAATTGGCGGTCAGCCTCCCTGTTATAGGAGCATTTTCCATCACTAGACTGACATCAAGGAATAAAATCAACAGCAATGCCAAGACCTTGTACTTGTGATGGCCTAAATGCTATGACCTTGTAGTCCTACAGTGTCGAGTTTAACCACTTCAGTTGGGGCTTATTGTCATTTTAGTAATATACTATACAACTCAATGAGTTACAAATGCTATGAACGAATATTTCCTCTCCATAATCCTACTAAAATTTTTCTCCTTGGACTTTCTTGATTTTCTTTGTGACATGCCTGAAGCGAATTTTTTTCTTTTCAGACTAACATAGAATTGGAAGAGGTTGTTCAATGAACTGAAAATAGAAATTGGCTATTTTTCCTTTCGCCCAAACCCAATATTTCCAAGTGGCTCATCTGACTCATAATCGTAGTCATTGCGTCATTTGTTTGCTAATTAATGTTTTCTGTTGTGAACATATAGGCTTTATACTTATTAATCCGAATAACAATGTATTGAATTAGTTGAGCTCTTTATGGTATTGCTTGCAGCAAGAAACATACATGAGAAACAACAATGAATAGGCAAGAGTGAACAGGGACTCAATTTTAGAGGCTGGCATAGAGTCAGGATCGGCATATTTTGCATCATAAAATGGTGAGATTTTTAGATCTTGAATAGTAACAACTATGGTCAGACTGAAGAAACTTTCAGTTCAAAAAAACACAGAGATCTACTTTACTAGATATTCTATCAAAGTTCAATATTAGTTGCCAACTGTCTCAAATTTCTAGGCTTTAAAGCTAATCAGTGAAAGCAAAAAAGTTAATGTCCGGAACAATATCAACTTTATTGAATCTCTTGTTCTGCCTTTCACTTAATTTGACATGCACAATAATTGAGAATAGATAAAGCTCAAAGTGCTAGAAGATTATATTCAACTATAACTTTCATATCGTCGCATATACACCATCACAGATCCAATTTTTTAGCATGTTAGCTAGGTGAATAGCGGGTGAATTTCCCATACCATCTTGGACCTTAAATGAAGTTCCCACATGCATGCGGCTGCAGTTTTGGAGTAAATCAAGGCTCCTTTGTTGTTTCTAAACTCCATCACTGATTACCATTGAAGTGAAATCTGTTCACGAATCAAACTGAAAGTCGTGAGTCACAATCAAAGATACTGGAATGCTTTGAAACCCAATAAGCATGTAAATCAGCACTTAGATTTTGTCCCTTAAGTTTTTGAAAGAAAAAGTACAACAAACTGTCAAATGCTAAAACTATAATACTCTGAGCAGTCAATCTCATCATATACATAATAGGCTGGTTACTCAGCAATTAAGATATGTAATATAATTTAGCACATCAACTCTTTCCAAGTCGAAGGCCAATAATAACATGACAATCTTTACCAATTTTTGGACATGAAGTTCTAGGAAACAAGCAAGCCATGTCTTGAAAGGGAAATGAAATTGAGATCTAGAATGTCTAGAACATCATCTTGCATAGACACCTGACACTAATAACAAAATAATTGCAATTCAAATGTCCCCAACTTTAATCAAGTGCTGTATCCTAATTCTTCTAAATTTGTTTAAATTTTGCACAAGTAATCATACAACAGTAAAGTAATACTTGGATTATGCATTTGAATTCATCAATCGTTACCTACATACAAATGGAACTTCATCAACCGCTCAATAACAAAAACAACAATGGTGCATAAAACAGGCAGCAAGTATACAAGATAACACAAAGTAATTATCCACCCCATTTTCCTGCCTTTCTTCTCTTTAAAATTTAACCAATCCATTCAACAGATTACACCATTGGACATCTTACTAAACTAGTAAAACTCCTGACATTGAAAACGAACCTACTAAATATATGGACGCCACCAAGATGATCCGAACTTTCTTAGCTCAGCTACAAATAGGGCAGAGTATCAAACCATTTTCGTTGCAATCGCTACACCTTAAAACCATGGTCTTTTTCTCCTGTTTCCCACCAACCTCTGCTCCTTGTTTGATCGCCACAACCATCTTACAACTCCCATTACACCTGAAGCATGGCACGAACCTTACACCCGCACACCCCTCACACACATACCCGCATCTCGTTTTAGGCAATCCCTGAAGCAACTCTCCTAAAGAGCCATCGTCCACGATTTTCATCACCTCATCGATTCCACCTATGTACTTCCCTTTCACAAACACTCTTGGGGGTATCAACTCACTCATCTCCTTCCCCCTCATCAGCTCCCTCAATTCATCCCTAAAGCCCCTGTCCATGGAAATATCCCTCTCACAAACCACAACACCGACCCCCTCAATTGCTGATCTAACAGCATTGCAATCTTCAAAAGTCTTCCTGACGCCCCTCAACGTCGTCGTATAAATCACCACTTTGTTTTCCCCATTTGGCGGGCAAACATTTTCAAATCCCTCAAGCATATAACTATAATTAAAATCTTCAGAAAAAGAATACTTTCTCCTGACATTGATATCGTTCGAGGACTTAATAACGACATTCGGATTGAAATTTTCCTCATTTCCTCGCCAGAACCCGGTATGATCAGAAACCGGATGAATCGGTAAAGTGGAAAAACGGAAGCTGGGAATGCGATCGGAATCAAGGCCAGACATGAGGTCCCTTGAATTAATGGTTTCAAGTGTGAAGCGCGGAGCTGGGATCGGAGTAGGATCGACAGTGGCGGTACCAGAATCGTGGTCTGTGTCGGACGTAGGCCGGTCGAGGGTCAAGAGACCATAAGTGGTGGAGGTGAGGGACACGATGTGATGACTGAAAGCTGTTGAGCGACCGATTTGGGAGAAATCGTCATCGTGGTTTAGCATTGTCGATGAAACACAACCCATTTTGTGAGTGCGCGCACTTGAGAAATCAGACTCAGTAGAGACAAACGCTTGGATTGTATGGGGTAGGGTAGAGAACTATTAGAAAAGGAAAGGAATAATTTAAGGACTCATTCAATTTTCAAATCTTGCTACTGCTGGTTTTAGCGCTCAAATCAAAAGTTTGCTTTATTTTCAATAATGGAGACTGTAGTGTACTCGTGAAGGCGTAGGGAGGGCAAATACCCGACCACATCCTATTTCGCATGGCCCCGTCATGAAAAATCAGAAATTTTCAGTCCATCGGGAATCAGGGATAGTGATGAAGAACATGATCTTCGCTTCAAATAGAATGATTGACATAAAAAATCTATTCTCTTTATTTTAGCTCCGTTTGGCCCGTTTTGTCAATTGAAACTGAGTGGAATAATATTTTTTAAAAAGAATAAGAATCGATAAAGAAGAAAAAAATTTTAATTTACGTATAATATTATTTTATAAAAAATATGTAATTGAAAATAGTTGAGAAAAAAATGAAATTTAATTTAATGAAAAGCAAACGGGAGTAGTGCAATATGCTGGTCATGATCATATACACGTTGTGAAAAACAACCATATCGACCAATTTTTTAATTAAAGTCTTGTAAACCATTTGTCATCCTTTTTAAATAAAAATAATAATTACAATCAGAGTTTCAATTTTTAAGTTACAAACGAGTCACAAGTAAAACAATTTATAAAAAAATATATATATTCTCTTTCATTTCAAGAAATGTGCAAAATACCATCTTTACACAGGTAAAGACCCTCCACCTCGGATTATTTGTTCCAAATTATTTATCGCCAATGTAGAAATACCGAGTTAACAATCAAAGTGATCACTGAACTTTGCAAAAAGTTTTTGCAGGATCACTGAACTTTAATAATCACTCAAGTCATCATTGAACTTTGCAAAAGATTTTTACGGGATCGCTGAACTTTAAAAATCATCACATTCATCAATAAACTTTGCAAAATATTGAATGATTGCTGAGAAACATTTTGCAAAGTTGAGTGACCCCCTGGAAAACTTTTTGCAAAATTTATTGATGAATGGGGCGATTTTTAAAGTTTAGTGATCCCGTGGAAACTTTTTGCAAAATTTAGTAACGCTTTCACCTTTTGCAAAATTCAATGATGACTTTGGTAATTTTAAAAATTCAATGACCCCATGAAAACTTTTTACAAAGCTTAGTGACCATTTGGATTATTAACTCGTAGAAATACCTCATCCCTTAAAAAATGGACTTTGCGTTTGCAAAAGAGCCTCATCCCTATGATAGACTTCTACTCTACATAAGAGCTTCATCTCTATAATAGGACTTGCGCATTTCAAATTTAACACCTCGGTTGCATGGCCTCATCTATTATTAAAAAGTGCATGCCTTATATGAATATTCATAATTGGACTCGAGAGAATATTCATACTCATCTGGTATCACCTTGAAATGAACATCAACAAGGGATTCATCACTTCATCCTCTAGTTGTTTTTCACTTCGTAAGACCTTGTCCAACAAGATAATTGCTCTTTATTCCTCACTCAAGATATGCCTTATCTAGCAAGATGATTGTTACTTCCACATTTTAATCAAAGTCAATGCCTTATATAAATATTCATCCAGAGATTATTGTTATGCATTGGCCCACAAGGTAGGCCACGGAGCAATTAGCTAAGCAAGAAGCCAAGGACAAGCCTCGCAAGGTAGCATTTCGCTTCGACTTCGCCTCTTCCACGTGCGACTTCCAAGACAATCAGGCTATACTATTGGATGCCTCATTTGGGACGTATTGTTCGAGGTGAGGCATCACCTTCCTACTACATTACATTTCTAATGCGATTAACAGTTTTGTGATGGGCCTCTTTTAAAAGCCTGAACATGGCCAAGACATACAATATACTTGATTGACTGTTAGATGTGATGCTTTGTAGCAACACTGTTCAATAAGAACTTTTCAGCCCATAAGTCTGTTTGGGAGTGATTTTGAGAATTAATTTTTTGATTGTTAGGAGAAAAGTGGGGTCTACCTGTGAGAGAAAAAATCAAATATGACGACTAAAATAGTGAAATAACGATCAAAAAATTAATTTTTTGGACCAAAAAATCACTCCCAAATAGGCTCTATGTATGAGCTAGGTTGGCCATAGGTCTATGACCATTATAAATGAAAATAATAGATAGCTAGGGATTGACATGATAGACGGCTATGAATTGACACAATTGAGCTTGAACAAATTGTCATTAGTACATCGTTAAGCATCCAATCGACTCCAACTCATATCTATTGTTATAAATTCTCATATGTGGTGAAATCCTAATGCAATGCATGATTACATATTCTTGCTCATTATGTCTCTTCCATTCCCAAATATATCCTTCTGCTCTCTGACGTGAGTGTTGACGTGCATGTGACTATAGCAAACTCTATCGAATTTATCATCGTTCAATTTAACTTTGGTGTCTTAGTGTGTAGTTAATATACGCATGAAACGGGAGAGAATAGGAATTTAATGATAGTTGGACCTGTCCTATTTGGGGGGTCAATAATTAATTTTATAATTTGGTACAATTTATTATTGCCATTTAATTTGGTCAAACAATGATTGTGGGATGCAAGATGTTTCATTTGGTGTTAAATCATGCAATTATTAAGTTTTATTTTGTGTTAATTCATTAACGGATACAATTTGTTTTCATGACAATAGACTTTTCCTTTTCACTATGGTCATATAATTTAGACCATAATTAATTGTGGAAATTTCGTATTAATTCATTTGATTACAGTTTTATTTTGTATTAATTCATAAAATGATACAATTATGTTTTAGTTACAAATAAAATAAACTTATCTTTCCCTGCCTAATTTAGGAATTCAATTCTCTTTGCATTTTATTTTAATGATTTACCACGTCACTTTGCATTTTTCGAAGTAAAATCAATTCAATTATTATGTTAATCTTGATTTTAAAAAAATGGAGTGAATATTATGTAGGTGGCATGACACGAAATTGATCTCAATCTTGAATTAGTATGAAATTTTCTAAATATAGCACCTTACTAACCTTGCAAATAATAAAAAGTTTGTGTTGCATATTCGAGCTTTCGAAATCACTATTGACCTTGAAAATGAGATTAAAAAATTTCACTCACCAGCAAGATTATAAATGACTATTTTGAATGGAGATATTCAGATTCTCATGTCTTTCGTAGTTCTCAAATATGCATATTTATAAATAATTATTTAGATCATACGATAATTAATTTATTTACATTGATGACTATCGCGGAATACTTTGAATCGTGCACAAATTAGGCTAGGTTTCAATACTAAATCAATCAACACACCAATCAAAATAAAGGCTCGAAACCTACAACTCATTCACTTTGGTAGCTACTTTCTAGCACCCACAAAGGGCGGAACAAAATATTGTGGTTAATGCAGCCACAAAGAAAGAAAAATATGGAGGAAGCAATTGATTAACTCAAGCCAGGGGCGGACCTTGGGGGCGGGGGGGGGGGGATTATAGGGGTAATTGACCCTCAAGATTTTGGGGGGAAAAAATTTTTGCTTAGCTTTTTTTTTATTAGAAGATATCCTATAAATTTTATTTTTGATCCCCTAACCCAAATTGTTTGGGTCCGCCCCTGACTCAAGCACAAAGTAGAGCGAAGAAATCAAAGATGGCTTCTCTGTTATTCTCTTGTAATTTCACACGATAACTCAAAGGAAGGCTTATACAGAGATAGGTTAGAAACCAAGTTAGGCTATAAATGAAGTTAAAACTGCATGCACTTAAAACCAAAAAAAGAGACTCCAACTGCAAAAATTTGAGTCCAAAAAATGAATATCTGGAAAATAGGAGAATATCAGTTCCATACCTGAGAATGGCACCAAAACCTAATCCTTCTATAAAGATTCTTGAAATTATTCCCAGTGTATTTAGCTAGAACGACAACAAAAAAAAATAAATAAATAAAGAGGAAAGCTACAAAATGGTGGATGAAGACCCATTATTCAAAATAATTAGTTTCAAGAAAATGCCAAAACCCCAGATTCTTTAAACGATGGTATCACACCAGGAAATTTCACTACCTTCAAGTGAGGATTCAATGGATAAACAAAAATAAAAATAAAAATGCAAAGATACAAGAATCTACAATAGAAGAAAATATTCTATCAAATCATCAAAAGTTTTTATTCTAAATCCAGTTAATAAAATCAATAAAAATTTACCAAAAGTTGAATGACTACAAAATCATCAAAGTTGGCATAAGCCAAACTAAGGAAGAAAACCTACAAAATGGAGGAAGAATCATTGGAAAGACTAAGATTCAAATAATGAGTATAAAAATTACCAGAAATCCAGTTTCTTAGAATGATTGACAAAATCCCTAACCTAAATCTGAAAGAACTTCAAGAAGTTACCTCAAATTCAAGTCCTCATATGAAAATTCTATAATTTCCCTCTTCTAGCATCATATCTCACAGAAAATTCCGTGTAAAAGGCTGCAACCCTTTCAATTTTACGTGTGAGAGAAGATTTCTGTATGGACCTACACACAGACATAACATTTGCTGTTGCATGGAAAAGGACTTTTTTGGGTTTGTACAGAATCAAAACAGGGCAGTATTGAGGTCCAAATATTAAATAAAAACAATAATGCTATTCGAACAGATTCCTTTGCACAGATGTTGAACAGGTAATAAAAAATTAATAAACAATGAGGACACGTGGCTGGAAGGGAAATAAGGAAAAAAAAAACTCAATCTGATTATAAATGGAAGAAACACATTATCCCCAAATTGAAATTGGCTCATTATCCCCAACCCAAATTGAAATTGGCTCATTTCTGTACTTCAGTCGATGAGGTCGGGACTTCGAAGTTCGACACCGACGAACCTCCCGTGTGAGTCTTAGCTCATTGTCCCTAAAATCAAAGAAAACAGTGGAGGTTGGCAAGCATTTTCTCTACTTCCAGTCGGTGAGGTCGGAACTTCGACACCGGCGAACCTCCCGTGTAGGTCTTAGCTCATTGTCCCTAAAATCAAAGAAAACGGTGGAGGTTGGCAAGCATTCGAAGCTTTACATCCCCATCTTTCTCTAGAAAGCCTCTCTTTGAAGAGAAAAAAATTGTGAAAAACAAAAACTCTATATTAGGGCTTTCAGAGGCGCCGAGAGAAGTATTTTCTCATTCCGTTTATTTCTCAGGTAATTTATTTACACCGCTTTGCTTTTTATG